GCAAAGATGTCTGTTGCCATGCCGGAACTAACATGGATGGCAGATAGATATGAAGAGAGGAGACAGGACAAGGCTCTGATTTATTCTTGTGTCTTTTACTTTGACGCAGTGAAGTATTTCATTCCTTTTATATGTGATGGTGGCTGTGTACATGTGATGTTCCCACTGAATCAAAACCATTTGTACAATGATTGAAAACTTGTTTTCCAAAGTTAGTCACCAGAAAACACTCCCCTTAAACGCAAATATCATTACGAATACAATCAAGGAGTGCTTAGTTCCAACTGCACACATATTTTCTTACCGAAAGTGACCTGTCGAACGTTATATGTTAACTAGTTCCTGCAGTACCAAAATAAGCTGCTTGGAGGCCCAAACTCACGCCACTTTTTTTCTGAGAACAACACACATACAAACACACACACAAACTTACACACACAAACGAAAGCCATCGAAAGCTCTAGGTGATAGACCATAAATTATTGTGTTGGATCTTAAGTTTTAACTTTAAAAAGGTAACGTATTGGTGAGTTCTTGTAACGTGCTGTCCAGCAATATGGAACGTCCAGTTACATAACGTAATTTTGAATGATACGTCTGTCTGGGGACTTCAGCATCCATGCCATAATAAGTTGTGAGGTTATGAGGTTGCCCTCCATCGTTACCGACGCCAGTCTAGTGTGACAAATATGTTGTCTTCACTTGAATGGCCCCTGCTTGTGGAGAGGAGGCGTAGAGCTAGGCTGATCATGTTTTTCAAAATTACAAACAATATCGTAGCCACACAGATGCCTCTTGTCACTAAAGGGCTGTCAACTGCATCACGCACAGAAAACAGTCTTGCCTTTCACCCTCCATTTTCGCGTGCAGACTACCACTTAAACTCATTCTTTCCAAGAACAGTCAGAGATTGGAACAAACTTCCAGAACACATAGTCAAAGCCAAGACCCTACAAGCATTCAAAAATGACCTAAATAACCTTTAGTCTCCCATTCACAGTACGGGTACTCACCGCTACCTGCAGGGTGGCGGACAGGGAGTAGCGCCCCTGCCCATTGAGGAGCTGGGTCCCTCCCTCCTCTTACTCACCCCATACAAACTTACAAGAAAGCGACCACCCCTCACTCCCCCCCCCATGTCATGAGCCTTCAACCTAATGAAGTTTGACATGTACTTTGAAGAAGAAGAAGAAGAAGAGATATTTCCCACTGTTACAAGATAGACAGATACTTTATAGTCGGGATTCTTTGGATACTTCCAAATCAGACTGAGCCCCCGGGATGTCTCCTGGGCACGATAACGGGGGATCTGGCACAATCTGTATGGAGTGTTTCAGACATTCGTGATCCGTTGATTAGGACATGTTGATGCTATTATATGCTTGACGTCTTCTGGGAACTTCAAAACTAATGCGAGCGTGCGAATAAAAAAAGATTGGCGAACAAATTTGCCTCCATTATGAAATCTATGTAGTCATGAAGGTTGAACAAATGATAGTAAACTCTAAATAATAAACATAAACAATAATAAACTCTTGATTTTCATTTCTTAACGTTATCTGCTTTTCCTTTGGAATTTGTTTTCGCAAACTATGACATAAGTATCGGTTTCCAAACAAATTTGACTAAGAACAAAGTATGATTTGTCGAACAATAGACTCTTCGTGTCCATTTCTCCACAAGTTGGAATTTATTTTGGCATTCTAGATCTATACGGCATTGCAAATATTTCATTGCAATTAACGGCATATATTTGTTCATTGTGCAGCTACTTTGTACGATTTACAGTTTGGTCGAAAACTTTTCTTTGTAAACGGTTCGAAAATTCATGCCCGCGCGGATGTCATCCATATAATCAAATCAACATGGCCTTAGACCAAAGCCTGTGTGAGGGGCAAAATGGAACATTTGTTGATTTAGCTTTGTTGTCTATAATTGTGTATCCCGTGGATTTTCTCAGGAGATTTTGCCCCAGGCCACAGCTAAAGAATCGCTCTACTTCTTACTGTACACAGACTTGAAAAATGGCACCCATAGCGCACCGGAAATTCAACACCAATTTTCAATATTACTTCTTCGTAGGTGGGCCCCGTAATGTTAAGACTTAGGACTCATCAAGAAAGTTGCTTAATACCTGTTATATACAGGAAAGGAAGGATGAGTGTAAATATCTTTCTTTTTTATCCATCGGAAGCTTAGGTCTCAGAAACATAACAAATTACATGTTTCCCTGGAGGGTATATTTAAAAGGATAAAACTAATTCCTGTAAAAATCGTATTTCCCAAATTGCCACTATTTGTCCGGGAGGCAAATATATAGTGGCAGCCTCCGATAAGGAACATTGTACACAGCTAACAAAGTGGAGTTTTCCTCTCGCCTGTTAAAGGCATCCAGTGCAGTTTTTAGGGCGTAGAAACCCAATTTTTCAAAGCAAATATTCTAGTTATTTATCTACATACTATATCTACATACGTTATCTACATTATCTCATGTATATTGACCCTCATGGAGCAAAAGTTGCCAAATTTCTGACGGAAAATGGTTACCGGAAGGCCCCTGGGCTGATTTTTAGGGTACCACCCAAAAAATAAAGTACTCCTCTTGTACTGGTTCATGTGATGGGTTTGTACTAAATTTCATTCCTTTCATTTCTTTCATTTTTTATTTCAGGTATGAAAAACAAAACTCACAATGCATTAATTTTTTTACCACCTATATAGTGGCAATGGTTTCTGAAAAATTGTGCTTATGATCCATACTTCTCAAAGTCTGAGTGGTGCAGGTATAACTTGTCTGGTGCAGGTAATTTTCAATGTTACCACAGGTTGCATACTTGTAACACATATCAAGCTCTAGGTGTCTACAGGTTGAGGTAAATCATGCATGCTGCAATTCGCGATATTAAGGCGTCTGGTACACCTTTATTTAGAACACATTCTCGCGCGACAGGATGTCTGCACGTGCGTCATCGCAATTGACTTTGACCTATCAATGTTCCCATCTTAGTGCTGCGGAAATCCCCCAAATCGTTCTGAATAGCACAGCACGAAAAACAGATATTCAAGCCAACTTTACGAACTGCGTAAAGAGATATTAAAGTAGGTGAAATATTTCCAGCAGAACGATTTCGGAAAGGCAGCTGAAAGAAAAGAACAATCTGTCCTCTTATATATCTTAGTGCTGCAAAAATCCCTGAAATCGTTTTGAATAGCACAGCACGAAAAAAGACATTCAAACCAACTTTACGAACCACGTAAAGAGATATCAAAGGCGGTAAAATTTTTCCAGCAGTCTGAGGAATTTCGGAAAGGCAACTGAAAGACAAATCTAACAATGTTTTAACGTTTTCCACACGAGTAAATGTCACGTAAATAAAACGTCTTTCTTTCCGTTACGTACCTTTTAACAAGTGCTTGAATAGAACGTAAAAACAAAATCAACTAAACAAAAGCTTCCGAGTCCTAATACATACGACATTAATATCCATCTACAATTTTGACTAGTATTAATATAATTATAACGCTCACGCTTACCAACTTATAGGTATTCATGAGTGAGTTGAATGTTTCATACGGTGACATACCAATAGAAGAAAGGACACACAATTACTGACGGTTCCAATAGAAAGAAACAAGGGCTTGATTTTATTCAGGGAATCAAATAGTCACCTATGCTGTTTTGACAATTAGAATGAACTTAATGATATTCTTTCGCGTTTGATTTCCGAACGAAATCTCACTGGTGCCAGATAGAATTTTTTCAAAGCTTATTGAGTCATCACGCCTGCAAGGAAAGAGACAGGAGATTCAGAAAACAATTTCTCTCTCTCTCAGTTCCTCTTAGTATGTGATGGCTCTGTCCCTACTCTCCAAGCAGACGTTTGGGTTTTGTCTTATTATTGGCGTGTTTTTAGGCTTTTTTTTATCGGGGTTTCTTTTCTGCACTGGAATTTTCCAACGCTAATTCCAGTGTAAAAAAGAAACCCCAATAAAAAAGCCTTAAAAACACGCCGAAAACCCAAACGTCTGCTTGGAGAGTACCTGCTCAGGGCTAGGTGAGAAATTCTTCTCTTCATCTGAACTCACTGCACGCCTTGTTTAAGTTGGAGCGTGTCAGTATCCTAAGGTCCGTGACACTGGAATTCTTGGAAGTATCACCGCCCAGGCTATACTGTCAAACGGATATGAAGCGCCTTTCACACAAAAAGGAGCTCTAAACATACTTTAGATTTCATGCGATGCGGAGAACTCCGAGAGACACAAAGCATATGGTGTCAGACGGAAAGATTTAGGGGGTGAAAATGAGTACGTGGAATGGTTACTACGACGCGAATTGGTATGTCACCCACGTTCTGCCTGTGGGATATAACTTCGGGGGTAGAACACAGGTATGAGCGCCATGAATACGGCTGCTAAAACTGTCGCGGTGTGTGGATGTCTTTTGACACAAGTGATGGGCCGTTATCATTATCCAATGTGCATCGTGGGGATGACAGTAACGTGAAACGTTTCCGTGTTTATCGGTGCTATATTGCAGGGAAAGGGGCGAATAATGCATTTTTGTGACACTCTACGGAGTGCTAGCTGCGATGGTATACACACGAAGTGTTTGGTCTCGTTTAGATGGAGATATAAAATCCTATCACTTTGTTGTGTGCTATGTTGTACATTTTGATCAATCAGTTGTTTCATCCATTGATAATACCTTTCGCATTGGATGTTTCTATATATTGTCCAGTTGATGTAGCCTCCTGTGCAGGCCTCCGGGCGGATGGGAGTTTTGATACTGCATTTTGTAGACTTTTTAACGCGTTCTTTTACCGACCATCCTACATACAACCAGCTGCCCAGAGAAGGTTTGTACCCGCCACATACAAGCGTTAAAAATTCTACAAAACGCAGTATCAAAACTCCAATCCGCCCGGAGGCCTGCACGTATATAGGCTATACAGTTAACGATCGCATTTTCAACGTAAATTTCGACTTTCCCTAGCGGCGGTGGAACCATGCAGGATGCTGACATCTCCGGTGAGAGTTAGCGGGAAGAGATGGACAGTTTTCAGGAGGAGGGGAACATCACCACCCCGACGACTGACTACGACCTGATAGAGGCGCTATGGAATTCCATCTACCCAAAACACTACGAGTGGGCCCTCATCGTGGGCTACATTCTGGTCTTCATCTTCGCCATTCTGGGCAACGGCTTGGGTACGTAGGTCTTTCTTTCTCTTTGTTTTTCTTTTTCAGCAATCTATCTCTCTGGCACAGGTAGTTAGGCCACAGCAAGTAATTTTATGGATGACATCAGCGCGCATGATGTGCTGTTCCCACTGAATCGAAACCATTTGTGCAATGATTGAAAACGTTTAATTTTCAAGTTGTATCAGTGACAAATGGTTGTTGTACAGCTGGCAGTAAACTTAGCACAATATAGGTATCATTTCTTGTTTAACAAGGTTTATGATGTCAAAATTTGAAAATGTAGGAATCTGTTTTTTTTAGCCCGCACTGTGTTTTTTCGCCCTATTGCATTAGATTTGGAGTCTGCGGACGATGTCATCCATAAAATTAACTTACTGTGGCCTTATCACATCTGATGAACACGCATGTAGCGCCACTACTTTGTGATACCTTTATGATATACAAATCGATTTATGTCTCAAATAACCCAGCTGTCTGAACAGGATTATTATATTTCAGCGAGACTTGGTCACGACTCCCACGATTCAGTGCCTTCATATATATACTATTACACCTTCCTGTCTGATCCTAGATCCTACAAACCCTCTAATATGTTCCGTATCTGTACACCCGCCCAGATTTCCTGTCTTTAATAATAAGAGTACCCTTGGCGGAAATGATGGGCTTATAATTGTGTAGGTCCTTGTACGAATCACTAACGCATCGCCGGCTTCATTGCCTGCCCGACCTGAGGGAGGATGGGGATTTGGATATCAAAGCTCCCCCATGAATCTGACAGACTGTGTTAGCATGCCTACACACATTTGGTAGGTTGGCCGTTAAGCGTATTTGGTGCTTATCTATATAGAGCCGTTTTTCGCTCTAAAACGTTTGCCAGCCGCAAGCAATTTAAAGGCATCCAGTGCAGTTTTTAGGGCTTGGAAACAGGATTTTTCAAAGCCAATATTCTAGTCACTTATCTACATACTGAGTTGAAACCACACTATCCTAATGTATATTGAGCATCAAAGAGCACAAATACTTAAAATTATGAAGGAAAATGGTTACTGGAAGGACCCTTGGATGATTTTAAGGTACCACCCATAAAGTAAAGGATCCATCTCGGGCTTGTTTCTGCAGTTTTAGATACTCGAAGTATGAAATACTGATTAAAATGTGCCAATGTGAAGCAGTTTGTGTCAATTTCATAAAGATTGCCTTAATCAGAATATTTCCAATATTTTGTTGCTCTGAAATCGCATCGGAACAACAAGAGGAAAATGTACATGTAGCAGTTAAATTTTACTCAGATTTGACTCAGCTTTAACTCAAATTCGACACTGGAGAGTCGGCAGAAAAGCAGGTTTATAAGTACGAACTTTTGATTGATATGCAAATATAAATGGAGACAATCTGACGAAAGGTAGTGGATGCTATCTGAAACGTCTGACCGTTTCCGAAATCATGTCCAGTTGCTTGAGTAACTGTTTTTGACGTATCTTATTACCTGGTGTGAACCTTCACCGACGTAAAACTACCGGTGTTTCGGTTTGCACTAAGAGGCGTTGACATGGACGGTTGGTACATTTGAAACTTTTTTCTCCTCCTGTAAAGGCAACCGACCTTCAGCCACAGACAAATTGACTCCACTTATGAGAACCATTCGCGCAGACAGATCACTCAGAAACATAGTGAGCGACGCTTCCGCCTCTTATTACTAAAGCTAGTCAATTAGCACAACCCAGAATAGAAATCAACTGCAGTTGTCTTCCTTTGAAGCAATGATAAGCTGCTTGTCAAATACTTAGTGGGAAGGTTTTTCGACGTGTCTAGAATTTTCCACGAGATCGAAATCAACCAGCTTATTTCTAAAGCTAGTCAATTAGCACAACCCGAAATTGCTACAACTGCAATTGTCTTGATTTGAAGCAATGATACGAAAGCTGCTTGTCAAATACTTAGTGGTGAGGTTTTTCGACGTGTCTGGAATTTTCCACGAGATCGAAATCAACCAAAACTAGGAATAAATGGTTGTGGGTGGAGGGATTATACGAGCCATCACAGGATTTGAAAAACTTTTTTCTCACCCCCCCAAAAACAGTTACTCAAGCAACTGGATATGGTTTTGGAAACTGTCTGACGTTTCGGGTAGCTATAGCATCCCAAACAATTGTTTCCCTCTGAAAGTGGTCAACATTCCGAAAACGGACAAAGATGTCTGTCGCCATGCCGGAATGTGGATGGCAGATAAATATGAAGGGATAAGATAAGGCGCTGATTTAATGTTTTGTCTTTTACTTTGAAACAGTGATGTATTTCATTCCTTTTATATGTGATGGTGGCTGTGTATATGTGATGTTCCCACTGAATAAAAAACATTTGTACTATAATTGAAAACTTTAATTTTTCAAAGTTGTTTCAGTTACTAGTATATGAATGTTGTAATAGTTGGCAGGAAACTTAACACAATGTAGGTATAATTTCTTGTTTAACAAGGTTTCAGTGATGTCAAACTTTGAAAATGTAGGAATGTCATTTTTTGACCCGCCTTGTTTTCTTTGGCCCTATCGCATTAGATTTGGAGTCTACGGAGGATGTCATCCATAACATTTACTTGCTGTGGTCGTAGTCACATTAAGAATAAAATTGAATAGACACACAGTATTAATGTCATCAGCTTTTGAGACGACTCACAAAATTTCGGACGCACTAAACGCATTATAAAGTTTAGTAGAAGCCACCTGAATAGCTATATGTCCCAATTATTTGCGTGGTATGAATATGGTTAGCCGGGGAGCATGAGATTGTGTCTTTAGCTGACCAGACAGGCGTTGTCTGATAGAAGAAGAACTTTATTGCACGACAATTGCACATGGTGCAATGTATGGCAAACTACATGAAGAAAGTAACAAACAATAAAATAAATGTGTTGAATAAGACGTTATGTCGAATAAAACCTAACATATCTTAATAACTCAAACAATAAGGGCTAACACAAGTCTTTGATAAAGTGTTACAATCGAGTGGGATAATCACAAGTTTCGGTATTTTTTCTAATAACAAAGCAGTCCTTTGTATAACTACCTATTTTTGCGTTGTGGGAACCATTACATGTAAATATATATTCAAATCTGTCTCCAACATCGGGACTCTTGAAATCTGTAGCACTTGATTCGAGAAATAGCTTGTTCCGTAAAATCAGTATGCTCTTAATCAGTCTAAAGTGTGTAGTGCATAGCATGTAATGTTACTGCATGTATCTACTGGACCAAAAGCAGAAACTTTAATCTCCAAACAGATCTTTCGGTGGCTGCAAAGACAGTATAAAATTGACCAGGCTGTATCTATTTGCCAGACAGTTACCATTTCCAACCCAAGGACTGTAAAAAAAGGTACCAGTAGTACAAAGAAGAGAGATCGTTAAAAACGAATAAGTATACACGCCAAAAATAAGCCGAAGCCAAAATCTCTGCTTGGAGAGTAAGACAACCTTCAAAACAACTCACGATGACTGCATGGCCATGGTTATTGTTGATAAAACGAATATTTTCTGTGCGAAAACCAAATTAAGATGCAACAAACCAGTTGGGAGAGAATAATGAATGAAAGACCTTTATTGTACGTTTGTGCTCTTACAGGCTAAGTACGTGGTATGAATAAAGCAAATTTTAAAGTAAACATTACAGTGACATCTTACTACAACTATTCAGACTAATGTGAACTACTTGTTCAACTTCTTCTAGCTTCTTAATGCAGTTTTAGATGTACGAACATAGGGGACTTATAATACATGTTTTTTCTGATTCCGTAAGGAATAATTTTTTCTGTTTTGTCTAAATGTCGAGGAATTACACCGAGGAAATCTTGTATTCAATTATCTACAATTGTATTTCTCTCAAAATGTCTCAGATTTGTTGTAAGTCAACGTAATACTCGGCATAAGTCAGTTAGGCCACAGTGATTTGATTTTATAGATGACATCCGCGCGCGCATTGATTTTCGCCTGTTCTCAAAAAAAAAAAGATCACCTCCTCCGAGATTCTGGCCTGGGTGCCATCCTTCGTAATCCATGGTAGCCGGCGACAATAGGGAGCCGCCGGCGGTAACAACGGAGGACGGTACCCAGACTACTGAAGCTCCACAGAACTCTAGAACTCTGTGCCGACTCATAAATGTCGCAAAAGGCAGGCATATGCCGGCTTGCCGCTATGTCCTACCGCAAATTCACAATCCCAGCTTTATATTCCTGTGGTACCGGTTTAGCAGCATTTTTTCCGGCTGGAGGATTTTTTTTAATTCGCCCGCGCGCACTAGTTTGGGGGTCTTCAGAGGACGTCATCCATAAAATTAAGACAGTGTGGCCTTAGGCACTATCGATCTTAGAGATGAAGTCATAATTCAAGTCACATATTGGGCAGATTCCCTCCCGAAAGTGCATGACATCAAAGGGAATTCCGGATCGGCCTAACGAGCGGCGGTTTTACGGGGTTGTGTGGGGGACGTGCCCTCTGCCACCCACCGGCTGTAATTGGGATCAACGGGTGGGAGTCGGTTCGTCACGACGGCTCGTCATCATGACCTCTGTATTTCGTGAAGGACAAACAACAGAAAACTGCTTCAGCAAATATGGTCAAACTTTTGCTAATCTTTTCTTGTGTTACTTAGGCCACAGCAAGTAATTTTTATGGATGACATCAGCGCGCGCATTGATTTTTGCCTGATTTTGAAAAAAAAAGCAAGAAATTCTATTGCCCTCTGACAGTGGTCAACATGCCGAAAATGGGCAAAGATGCCTGTTGCCATGCCGGAACGTGGATGGCAGCGGAATATGAAAAGAGGAGACAAGGCTCTGATTTATTGTTTTATCTTTTACTTTGATGCAGTGTTGCATTTTATTCTTTTATATGTAATGTTCACTGAATCAAAGCCATTTGTAAAATGACTGAAAACTTGTGACAAATGGAACGTTGAAATAGTTGGCAGTAAACGTAACACAATATAGGTATCCTTTCTTGTTTAACAATGTTTAGTATGTCAAGATTTGAAAATGTAGTTTTTTGCCAACCTTGCTTTTTTTTATATTTCCCTCATTTCTATGTATTGCACAATGAACAACAAAATGACATTCATCTTTAATTTTATCTAAATTACAAAATTGGCATCTGAATATGTGTCATTAATACAACTTAATGAGAATTCGTTCTGTCATTATGATAGAAATCGGTCGCCATGTTTCCGCTGATTCTTCATTAAGGTATTGCTGTACGAATTTCAAAGTTATCTATATCATAAAGGTATGTTTCCTGTTCATAACAGTTTTTCAATTCTTATCATTTCTATGCTTTTAAATTAAAGTTTTTCAATTTGATAAGAAAAGACAGCTTAGAATTGTTTCTAATACAACTAAACCACTCTTGTATATGCGTATCTTGTAGCCGATGGCGAAGTTGGTGTGTAAATATATCAAAACTAGCACTACACCTTCTCGATCGCATATAAAAGAGAATTTGGGACTGGCCACAGGCTATCCTCTGGCCTCCAAGTTAGACACCCTTTCCCATAGACGAAATGTTGCCTCTCTATCCCTCTTTTACAGATATTTTCATGGTCATTGCTCTGCAGAACTCACCCAACTAGTTCCACCACTCACTTTTAAGCGTTCCACTAGGTTCTCCACTAGCTCACACAACTTCACAGTCCAAATTCCTTGTTCGAAATCTTTTTACAGTGACAGTTTCCTTCCCCGTTCGGCCAAGCCTTAGAATTCCCTCCCTGACAAGTGTTTCCCACCAACCTACAATCTACAGGCTTTCAAATCAAACGTTCACCGCCATCTCTTGACATAGCCATGTTTCTCTCATATTTCAAGTTCAATGCCGTGAAGCGGTCGTATAGGCCTTGCATTGAATCATTCCTCAGACTATTTCATATCAGTGATACAATATTTATGGAACATCACCAGCAAGTTGATGTTAGCTACCTGCATGTAAACTCCCACAAGTGTACTAAACGCTCCATGGGGGCGCACCATCGGCAGGAAGAGGACCCTTCAGCTCGTTTGTTCTCTAGCTTCTGGCCTGATTAGTTCTTAACGTGCTGGGTGTGGATAGACTCACTGACTGACTGACTGATCGTGTGTACGTGTCTGTCTTTTCGTAGCATTTACATTTTCTTGCACTGAAATATATAATGATGTGGAAATAGATGATACGTATATTGGGCCCTCCTACAGGTTCAGTCAGTCAGTGCATTTTCAGGGCAGCAAAACTGGATTCAGTTCAACGTCAAATTTTTCTGGGCATTCTTTTAGCGTAGTAAGTTGAAGCAATCCTGTATCATAGAATACCAATATCTGTGAGGCATAAATGCGATGTTACTGGCAGAAAACGGTTGCTTGTTTTGTATCGTAGGCTAGTTTTCTAGCTATTCATGAGTGGTACTCCAATAAGAGATGCCACATGTAGCTTATTTTGGGGCTATTTCAAACGCTTCAATCTGTACGACAAAGGTGTGCTAAGAAATAGCAGTAAATGTCAACATCAGACTGATTTCCTCATCCAGAATATTTTTGCTTTGTCGCCCTGAAATTGCATTGGATGCCTTTAAAAGGCCGGGACAATAGATAGAGTTGCTGCTCAGTACGCGACTTAATTTCACTTGTCAGCGTCGCTTTTTCCTACATCATCAATTTGATTTCCGCTCACTTGGAGTCAAGTCTTCCCAAAAGACTGGATCTACCCACAGACGTGTAGTCAAGCCTCAATCAGGCACATCCGCGACAGCGGCTGAATAAAACATCAACCAATTAAGCTTAGTGGCGTCTGGAGTGCCACCGAGACACTCTGTTGGCAATTTCTTCTTTTTTGTTTTCCGTGCGAACGTTGACTAATCTTAAGACAGATTCTGATACAGAACTTGTAGTAAAATGGTTTATTCATACATTTCATATGTTTGATTGTTATGGTTGCCTTAGTGCTGAATTGTAGACTCTTAGTTCTTAAAACACGTTTTGGAAAAGGTTCAACTTCTGGAAAAGGTAAAGGTAAAGTTTCAACATATCGGTATCATCATATTCATGTCCAACTCCCATATCTGCCTACATAGGTCAATTTCTGTATACCCTATTCCATATGCGAGACCGGGCCATCAATACATGACCATATTGTAACTCATATATTGTATTCAATAGTAGTTTGTAGTATTAATTTCAAGAGCAATAAAGTTCATTCATTCAATCATTCATTCATTCATTCACATTACAATAAAATGTGGTAATAAAGGTGAGACGGGATCAGTAACAGTGGCAGGACCGTCACACTTCCTGCTCACTTTCCCAGTCACCTTGAAAAGGAGAGCTACTAGCTCAGGTCGGCTGAACGTAGCCGGAATCGTAACTTTCTCATAAGTGCACTAATTACTTCCCACTCTTCGACAGGAAGCCGGTCGATAAATATACCGCGTACGTAATGTACGGAATGACAACTAGTATAGTACGGCTCTCAGGAGAAGAAACTACCGAGGAAGAGATCGCAGGAGTTTTAGTGTTCCACACAGCTTCTTCTGACGCATAGAGAGGTGTAAAAAACAAGTCATAATCCTGGTAACGTTTCTGGGAAACAATAAAATGCCTGCATGCACTCCGTTTGTGCTGATAAATTTACGAATGTCGCATTCTGCGATAGTTGGTTATGACTGTATCGCAGCAGCAGTTTCTCAGCAGTTGTTTGGTGTAATAGCCTGCTGCTGCAAGGTACCGTACGAGATAACAGCCTTCAGTAGTTACTGCGAACGTTATGTTTAGTCCTCCCTGCCAAACACTTTGGATATCTTTCCTTATAAGCCCATGTCACAGATTCACGAATATGGCCTCAAGCATTAGCCGAACTTCGCCCAAAAATGGTTAGGAGTAGGTCGGGGGCAAGGTTAAATGTTAGTTTAGTGCTCTCAACACACCGGGCCGTGCAGCAATGCACCGGAGACTTTTTTCCAAGACTAAAGTTGTAATGCTACAGTTATGACCACCTACAATGTGTATCGAAATGCAAAATTATTGGGTTTACCTTCGCAGAAGGAAACATATTGTTCTCTTTCTTCTTATTATTCCTCTTCTCCTATTACAATAAGGTCAATGACCTGAACAAAATGACTGTCAACATGGTAACTAGTGCAGCAGCAGACACCATGAGGCACTGAGTTACATTATGTAGCAAGACAGAGCTGGAAGGGCTACTCACCATATATTAGTATATGAATGTGTTTGTGTAAGAATAAAAAGAGCAGTAGTTTGTTGTGCTAGACCATGTGAAGGTAAATATTATGCATTTGGTATGAAGATGTTACCTTTCTAGTGTTTCCTTCTTCTTCCCCACACAGTGTGTGTGGTTGTGGCCAGGAACAGCCACATGCGGACGGTGACGAACTATTTCATCGTGAACCTGTCGGCAGGGGACCTGCTGGTCACCATCATCTGTCTGCCGCCCACCCTGGTGGTGGACATCATGGAGACATGGTTCTTCGGAGAGACCATGTGCAAGGTTTTCTCGTACATGCAGGCAAGTACATACATGGGTCTTGTATGGAAGTATTGTTTTTGTTATGTCTGTGTATGTGTCTGTGTCCGTGTGTGTGTCTGTGTCTCTGCATGGCCCTTAAGACAAGTTGTAATGGACATGGTTGGATTCAGTCTGTCCAAGAGGGAGAGAGGCATTAATCACATCTACATCTGGTAGCGCTGGCTATTTTCACATGTGCTTTTTGTTACATGACCTCCTTGACAGCTGGAGTTGTTTCCCTTGTACGATAAAAATAAGACGTATAGACACCATGGTTAATGAGAAGAAGACACAGTCACCATCACACAGGATCTAAATATTTCATAGATGTCTGAGATCTCCGAATTCATTTGGCTTCTGAGAGACACCATGTATGCTTTTGTTCTA